ACTTGGGAGGATTCTTGGATGAGGTTTTGTGACCTTTCTTTTTAGATATAAAAAAAATAGAGGCTTATTTGGCAGCTGAGGTGCTGAGCATGGACTGTGTGTCTGGAAATGAATCTGAATTGATTAACTGTCAGGAGGAGGAGTCACTTTTGAGCCTTTGAGTACAATTAACTCGCAATATGAGGATTTGAACGCGCGGGTTCACCCCCACGCATGTACAATCCCACCGTTAGGGCCAACAGCGTCCTTGGACACACGTGTCCACTGCTCGTAGTCGCTGCAAAATCATTTCCCACCTCGAGGTGCCGGTGACATGTGAACTTGCATCAGACACACAGCAGCTGCCGATTCAGTGCGCGGCGAAAGGGTTTTCATGGCTATTTTGGAGACGTAGAGGCTGCCTATTTTGGGAGTAGAGGATCATAGTTTTCCTATACTTCTCACTGGGAGTGAAATGAATCAGCAATTCCCTTTTCTTCTGGTCACCCTTCTGCATAGGAAACGAATCGATTCCCCGTGAGCTGCGCCGTTCGATTTTTTTCCTGCTGCAGCGTTCACTGCAGAGGGTCTTTGAGAAGACATCAGTCACAGGTTGCAATACGGATACGTTTATTTATTTATAGGATACGTTCTACTGCTTTGTGGAGATCTATTTTGGGGAAACAAAATATGTGTGTGGAGCTTGTTTTGTGTCCTGTGTGTTTCCTCTCACCCCTGATATTCTGTGAACTTGAAGGACTTTCCTCCCAAGGAACAAGCAACAGGACGAGAGGCCTCAAGTCACGCAAAGGAGGTTCAGATTGAGTATGAGGAAAAATTTCTTTACTGAAAGAGCGGTGAAGTGCTGGAAAGAGCTGCCCAGGGCAGCGGTGGAGTCGCCGTCCCTGGAGGTGTTCGAGAACTGTGTAGATGTTGCACTTGGGGACGTGGTTTAGTGGTCACGGTGGTGTTGGGTTGGTGGTTGGACTTGATGATCTCAGAGCTGTTTTCCAGCCTTAGTGATTCTATGATTCTTGTTTAAGGACCTCTCCGTGTGTGGCAGGCTCGCTGGTAGGAGCAGGAAGGTGCTGGAGCGCATGAGGAACGCTGGGCACACAGACGTGACGTTGAGGGGCTGAACAAGTGTCTGTGGAGTTCGGTTCCTAACGCCTGGGGAGGTCTCGGAGGACGTATTTCTTAAAGGAACAACACCTGGGCAAAGCAAATTCCAGGAGCCAGTTTATTGACCTTAAATACAGGCTTAACCAAGGCAGAGGTTTAGAGGTGATCTCTCGCGATAGGGAGAATGTAACGTGTCTGGTTGATTTGGCTTTATTGAACCGTCTGTGAGGTATCGATGAGGACACTTTGTCAGGGCGAATCCTTCTGTAAGTCCCTGGTTTTATTTCCCTGCAGTGGTCTGGATTTGCAGCCTCGATTTGTTCACAGCTGTGGACTTTGGAGAGCTGGAGATGTTACGCGCGGTGTGATGTTCCTCTTCCAAGAGGAGAGTCTCGGGCAGTGATTAGGTGGTTTTTTTTTTTTTCATGACTCAGAGGTTTGGAGGTTGCTTGTTCTGTCTTTTAGCTGGCTTTCAGGGGGGAAAAAGAAGTATCTCATAACAGATTTTGCATTTTGAGTATCTGTTATCTATCACTGAGAGATTTTTGAGGGCTTTAATTAACAAGCCACTAATGAAGATGGGGATGCTGTGGCAAATGAGAATGATGTGAGTTGCCCTCTTTCGTAGACAAGCCGGTGATGAAGCAGGAATCGGTGGAGGTTTGACTCTATCAAAATAATGATTGTTAGAAATCAATCCAGTTTTTATTCATAGAGTTACAGAGATTTGAGTTAATCCGAGTGCGTGCGTAGCATGATTGAATTGCTCAAGTTGAAAGTTGCTGACATGTTCAAAGACATCTCTGACTTTGCTGCTGTAGAAATATTGACATTTTTGACCAGACAGGCAGTGGTAACTGGTAATTAAACAGCTGATTCGCAGCAAAATCATTACAGTGGACGTAACTCTGCGGGTTTTTTTATTATTTATTTCCATCAGCTTTTTAAAACAGAGTGCAGAAAGGAAATCGATCAGTCTGGTGTGGTGGTGTAATGCAGCTTGCCAATAATGGAGTTGAGGAGGCTGCGATGGTTCTGTACCGGCCTTCCCGATCTCATAAGGTAATCCCAGATAACTTGCGTTCCTGAAACTCTTCTTTCTGTGTCGCCTCGCAGGGCAGTGGTAGAGGCCGTTCATCGGTTGGATCTCATCCTTGGCAATAAGGCAGCGTATCAAGAAGTGTTCAAGCCGGAGAACATCAGCTTGAGGAACAAGTAAGTTGGGCGGGACGCTTGGTTTTTATGAATCCGGCTGGGGAAGATCCACGCAGAGGTTTGGAATCTGGAGTTTCGCGGTGTGTTTGGTTTGACCTGGGATCCCTCCAGGTTTTTGAAGCAGAGGCTTGATTTCAGATCTGGTTTCGAATGGCCAGTCCATAGCTGGAGGCTTGTTTGATACAAAGAAGTCGTCTTCACGTTGGCCATCGTCTTCCTTGAAAATCCATGTGGTGAAGAAACTTCTTAGACATGTACGAAATGATTTATCAGGTTCGGAGGGTGCTGATCAGGATTTTTCCTCATTTTTTTTTTTTAAGGTGGCAAGACAATTCTTGTCATTACTGCCATTTAGGAAGTTACTGGTGGCCAGTTGAGCGAGGTAACTGGTTAACTTTTCCAGATGCTCTTGTGTGAGAGCGATCAGGAGCTGGTCTAGTTAATCTGTCGTAATTAATTGAGATTTTTCCTCGCCCGTGCTTATGTAGCAGCAGTTGTCTTTGCTGCTGTAGCTAAATGTGAATTCTCTGCTGTCTCTCTCAGGCTGCGAGAGCTGTGCGTGAAGCTGATGTTCTTGCACCCGGTGGATTATGGAAGAAAAGCAGAAGAGCTGCTCTGGAGAAAAGTTTACTATGAAGTTATCCAGCTCATTAAAACGAATAAAAAGGTGGGTATCAAGACCCAAATTAGAAGCTCTGTTAACTTGGAGAGTTGATGGCCTGAACACGATCTTGCAGGATTCATTCACACTTTTATTTTCTCATGCCATGAGCCCTCCTCACGAGCTGGTTGTGAGAATGTATTGAAGGTGCTGGAACCGGACACTCAGTTTTATTTCGTCGTGGTTGCAGCACACATTTCTCCTTCCTGGTGTTGCCCCTTAGGAAATACCACTAGATCCGATGCTGTTGAGCAAGAGGAAGTATAGAACTGTGTGAAATAAAAAAACCAGCTGCCCACTGTGTTGCTTTGTGCTTGGCATGACTTGAGTGGCCTAAAATGTTACTGGACTGCATTAACGTATTTTCCTTTTTTTTCTGCCCTCCAGCACATTCACAGCCGGAGCACGTTGGAGTGTGCGTACCGCACTCACTTAGTCGCTGGCATCGGGTTTTACCAGCACCTCCTCCTCTACATCCAGTCTCACTACCAGCTGGAGCTGCAGTGCTGTATCGACTGGACACATGTAACCGACCCTCTAATAGGTGAGAGCTCGCTGTGTCGGACTCGTGGACAGCGCCTCAATCCCAGCCGGGTGGTTTTGTCTGGCTCTGGTCTATCTTTTGTTTCAGCGTTCAAGGGATTATCGTTCTTTTTTTTTTTCTGATTAGCCACTTATCTCTTTAGAACCAACCGTCTGTCCAGCTCTCTCTTCCACTGCCCTGTTGTGTTGTTCTTTTAATGCTAAAGGAGGGTTTCTAACTGGAAGATAACGTTGGTAGGAAATTCTTTAGTAAGTGTTTGACGATGGTAGATTTTTTTTATGGAAAGTTGAAGAGGCCTCTGGCTGTGCCGAGTGGATTTAAAAGCTTAAGGCAGACAGAGACCGGCGGTTGAGGGAACAGGTTCTTGAAATCAACAGGTTTTTTTGTCAGGATGTCCTGGTTGTTGGATGTAAGATGTTGCGGTGGGTGGCTTTGAAATCATTTGGTCACGTTCTCTCCTGGGTTCTGCTCGGTGGCCTCAAGGCACGTGTTCCCCTTCAGGTGGATCCAGGAGCTGTATGTTTCATGAACCATATTAACAGTTTATGTTTTTCCAGCGGGCTAGGAGGGCAGGACGGCACAAAGTGACCAAAGAGAAGTGGGTATGTCTTTAGGAATAGAGTGTTTCAGTTGCTGGTATCCTTTTCGTGGTTCTGTGAGGTGATTTTATCGTGATTGGCTTTGAATTGTCACTTTAAAAGGCAGATGTCCCTGGCAACTGTGGCTTTGAGAAATGTATCGCGGTGCTGCGGAATTCATCAGTTCTTGAAATGCGCTTTCTGGACGGGTTTGTACCCTGTGGTGCATGATTGCACTCAAAATGCTCCCTGTGTTGAGGTTTCTTAATGGGTTTAGGCTCTTTAATTAAAAGGATGCAGGAGATGAGTATGTGACTGGACAATAGAGATGGAACCATGCCTGTCCTGAAAAGATGAACGTGTAAGAATCCTGTATGAACAAACCGGGCTGGACACAACTCGATGGTTCTGTAAATGGGAGCAGGAGGACCTGAAGCAAAAAAAGAAAGGGAGGAGAGGTCCCGCAAGTTTCAAGGTCGCACATTTGTGTAACGCAGCTGCTGCAGTGCCTGTTAGTAAGTGGGAACCGTTCCTCACTGGGCACTTAAGTTTCTGGATTTTTCCCTCTTTTAAAAGAAGCCAAGAGAAAAGGAGCCCAGACTGCAGGCTGGGCTGTGTTAAAAAACCTTCCTGCTTGAGGGAATTTTCTCCTCCAGAAGATGGAAGTCCTTAGTGACAGGAAGACCAAACCTAGACTGTCTCCGTGATGCTGGGCTGTCCGCTGGCGGTAAATGCACTCTGGAGTGGAAGCACAGACACGGTCACCTTTGCCTTCTGATTTCTGGCTGAACCATGGCCCTGCTGGCTCCCGAGTAGGTGCTCCTGGGGAGATCACAGAATCGCAGAGTTGGTGGAGTTGGAAGGATCCTCTAGAGATCATCTAGGCCAGATGGGAAGCGCGATCAGGAACTCAGTCATGTGTAGTGCCTTGACTTAGTCCAGCTGGCTGGAGCTTTGCCCTGTTTCTTTTGACACTTTTCCAGCGTCTAAACTGGTTTGTGTTGTGTTTTTGTTTGTTAAGTTCAGTATAGACTAGAACACACTATTTAAGGGACCTTGGTGATCATCTAATCCAACTGCTTGACCAGTTTAGGGCTGACCAAAAGCTAAAGCACGTTAATAAGGGCCTTGTCCAAATGCATCTTAAATGCTTGGGGCATCGACCAGCTCTCTGGGAAGCCTGTGCCAGTGTTTGACCACCCTCTCGCTGAAGAAACGCTTCCTAATGTCCAGCCTAAACCTCCCTTGACAGCTTTGCAACTTGCGCTCGGTGCTGTGTTACCACAGTCACGTGGCTCGTGGAGAGGAATTGGCCTTTGTCCTCTGGTCTGAGTGCAAACAGAGCTGGCTCTGGGGCATACCTTGGAGCCAAAGTCTTGGGGACGGTCAGTTCGGTGACTGGTTCCCCTCATCAGTGGGGAATTAAAAGAAGAATGGCTTCGCATCAGCATCTACGTGTATTTTCTACATTTATTTTCCACATTTTGCTAAAAAGAGCGAACTAGTGCCCGTCTATAAGATGCCGCAGACGACAACCAACCGCGTGGTCTTTGTTTTTATCTGGTGAAATGTTGCTTTTCTCAGGCGGAGGCGGAGGCTGCTCGTGTGTCTTTCCAGCAGCCTTTCCCCGACGATGGCTGCGATCTCCTTATTTCTCCTGCAGGCTGCAAGAAACCCGTGTCTGCCTCGGAGAAGGAGATGGAGTGGGCACAGATGGCGTGTCACAGATGTCTGGTTTATCTGGGAGATCTAGGTAAGAACAGCGTCGTCTTTCAGGGAAACCTTTAATGTGTTAAAACATTATTAATTATTTAATACGTTAAAACTGGACAGTGCTGAGCCCGTCACAGTCACCAGCCGCGGTTACTCGCAGACACTGTTTTCCCTCTGACACATTTGTCAGCAGCTGGTGTGAGCTGAAGGTTCTCGTGGCCAACAGAGCAGCCACAAATCACCGAAGCTTCATGTTTGAGCAAGTAGATGAGGAGTTTGCAATTGATAAACTGTATCTGCGGAAGCCTTTGCTTTCAGTTGCGTTGTCTGAGCAATGGGAAGGAAACTGGGAGTGGGCTGACTTCTCTCGCCCAGCTTTCCTCTAAAGTTGCCTTACGGAGCCGCTGCCGTCAGCACAAATGTGGCTGAAAATCAGATTTTTTTTTAATCATTGTCAGTCAATCCAGAGTGCAGGGCACTGCAGAGCTCCAGTTCTTTGCCGTTATGTCTGGCTGCATGTTGTCACTGTTATAGCAGATGTGATCACGACCTCCTGAAGCGTGTGGTGTGTCGGCTTCTTGCTGTGATTGCGAGTGTGTGAGAGTCGAGGTGGTGAGCGAACACGTAACCGTCTGAAAAGCAGTGATTCGAAGCCTGGCACGGGGCAACGCGCTCCACACGCAGCAGCCTTCAACCTCTTGAAAGCTGGTTGGCATTATCTTAGAATTGTAGAACAATTTGGGTTGGAGGGGACCTCAAAGATCATCTCGTTCCAGCCCCCCTGCCATGGCAGGGACGTCTCCCACTAGATCAGGTGGCTCATGAAGATCATGGCTGCGCATGAATCAGCCTGAAAAACGATATCGCAAATAAATGTCTTAGGGGGGGAGTAAGAATGACTTAACTCACTGATGGCGGAGAAGCGCGCTCACCTCTTCACTGGGCTTTCCCAAAATGCCTACTCTGATCCAGAAAAAATAAAGTCCAGTCTAGCCACAGCCAGGTGTTTTAAGTCAGCCGAGTCACTCTGCCGTAGCAGAATGTAGTTTGTCTGAGGTGCTGGAAGATGGAGCACGGCTCTGAGTTAGTTTAAGGATAAATGAATCGGTGTGGAGTGAAAGAATTTCTTCCTTTTGCTTACGTGCCCCCACGAGTCCTGAGGGACATCCCCTCCGCTTGCAGCGGCAGGACTTGTGCCGTGCCGTTAAAACAAAGGCACTTCCGACGGGCCGGGCAAATTCTGGGCGCTTCTGTGTTTTGCCAAAAGCGGTTCTTCTTTGACAGATTGGTTTGGCTCGGCCAGTATGTCTAGTTTTGTGGTATTTTTAATCTGCAGGGAAGAGAAGACGCTGCCTTCTGGTTTCTGACGTGTGCTGTGTGGTTTCTTTCAGCTCGCTATCAGAATGAACTGGCAGGCGTGGACACAGAGTTGCTGGCGGAGCGGTTTTACTATCAAGCCCTTTCTGTCGCGCCGCAAATAGGTGAGTTACGTGAATTTTTGGCCGTTAAAACCACATTGCCTCAACCTAAAAACAGCGCTGTGATGCTATGCCAGTCCGGTTTTCTCTCTTGCTGCTGAGAGAGGAGTGGTTTTGTCCTCTGGTTAAAATTACTTCCTTCTTTGAGAATCTCTCTTGCTGGCAAAGCAAAGAAAGGCATTAAAGTGAAGGTGCTCTTTGCCAGTGACTTCAGCCTGCTCATTTGAGAACCTCCAGCTTCCATGAACGTGGTGAAATTGCATTTGTCCGGCCAAGGGAAGATCCAGCTGTCCATTGCAGAGGCAGATTATTATTGGTCATTTCCCTCTTTTTACCCCAGCAAAAAAAAAAAATCTCACAAGCCGCTTTCCCCTTCAGAAGTGATTACCTTTTGAGAACACCTTGTGACAAGAGTTGAGGCCTTATCTGTCTTAAAAGGTGTGTGACTCCGGAAAGATTATTTTCTTCTATCCTGTCTTTTCTGAGTTCTTACTGAGTTGTTTGATAAGTTGATCCCACATACCATAAAGCAAAAAAAGCCCACGTACCGCAGTGAGCTGGAACAGAATTCTTAAATGCTGATAAGCTGATGCCTGTGTCGGGAATCTAGAGTCAAAGCCAGGGCTTTATTAATTCAGAAGAGGAGGCATTGTTAGCACTGCTGTTAGCTGGCAGGAAGCTGCATAGGATCTAAAACACTGTTAAACAGAAAAAACCAACAACCCAAACCTGGGTGGTGAAAGGATCGAGTAGTTCAGACCTTTGGACTGCGGCTTTACTACCGTTTGTATCTCCTGGCTTCCCTCCTGCGAGGGATGGGTCTGCTTCCTACCAGGGTTGTTGGAGAATTTGAAGTTAATTCCTTTCCCCTCTCTTTTCCGACAGGCATGCCCTTTAACCAGCTGGGGACACTGGCAGGGAGCAAATACTACAACGTGGAAGCTACCTATTGCTACTTACGCTGGTGAGTGGCCGTGAGGATCTCAAGAGGATCGGTGCGCTGCGGTTGCCCGCACCAGATTTGGGGCTGGACTAGATGATCTTTTGAGGTCCCTTCCAACCCTGAACATTCTGTGATTCTGTGAGTGATGCTGTGAGTGGTTCCCTGATTCTCTGATTCTCTTCTCCTTTACTTCAGATTTTTGGCTGGTTTTAGCAGATGGGTTTCAGGGGAGGGGGAAAAGAGGTGGATTCATTTCAAACCTTGAGCAAGGGTGGCAATAAGAACACCTGAATAACTTTCAAGCGAATTAAAGCCATAAAATGCTGCGAAACTTGTTGGCAAAGTAACTTGGGATTTGTGTTCCATTTTGGGGTCGCAGTATCCAGTCTGAAGTGTCCTTTGAAGGTGCCTACGGGAACCTGAAGCGGCTGTATGACAAAGCAGCCAAAATGTATCACCAGCTGAAGAAATGTGAAACGAGGAAACTGTCTCCAAGCAAGAAACGGTGAGAAGGCAAAAGAAAAGGAGAGGGGGTGCAGGCTCAGGGTTTGCAGTGCTACCGGTGTCCCCTCTGGGTTGAGGGTAGTGTCCTTGTGGGAAGGGAGAACTGGTTGATCCAAGGCAACAACCATTCCCAGAATCTTGAGATTCTCATTATTGATCTCTCGGGTCGTAATTCCGGGAGTAAAGCTTAATGCTGACCGGCTGTGGAGTTTCAGGGTGAGAGATTTTCTCCCTTTCACCTGACGCTGGTGACTCTTCATGAGGGTTGAGGCATGTTGGTGAAAGTTAGAAGCGTACAGGCTGACTTTTTCTTTCTCTCCGCTCTCATCAGAAAGTAGTTTTCAGTTGAGACCTGATTTACCTGTTGACAGAGCTCTGTTAATCTCAGCCGTCTCCGTGGTGGTGCGCCTGATTTACGGTGTTTTCTGCTCCATCTTTTTAGAGGCAAAGACATTAAGAGGTTGCTGGTGAGCTTTATGTACCTGCAGAGTCTTTTGCAGCCAAAGAGCAGGTAAGGTTACGGCAGATCCTCTCTTCTTTTGCTAACTCAGCCCTTCAGAATTGGAAGACTCTGTTCCCTGGAGGATAACAGCCCCTGTGCCAAGGCTTTGTGCCAAAAAATCCAAAACTTTGCTGGTAGGACAGCAGAGTCACTGTCCATGTGCAAGGCTCTTCCTTTCATTTGGAAATCTGTAACCTTGTTCAAAGAAACAAAGAGCAGAACCTCTTCAGGTTGGAATAAATGGAAAGCTTTGTACAGCCATGTGATTTTTCTTTCTGGGCTTGGATTTTTCTCTCTTCACCGCGAGGTTTTCAGGTGATTGTGAATAAACCTCTCACTGCTTCAAATAATAGAGCAGGTGTTTTAAAGGGTTTGTACACAGTTAAATTCGTCGTGGAGTAGTTTAGGTTGGAAGGCACCTTCCAGGGGTCCAGTCCTCCCCCGGAGTAGGGTCCGCTGTGAAGGTAAATTCAAATGCGAAGTCAGATGAGGTTGCTCGGAGCCTCATCCAGCTGAGTTTGGAATGGAGCTTGGGACAGAGGTTCTGCACCTCTGCTCCTCCTTCCAGGGTGTGACAGCCTTCACCGTGGAATTTTTTTTTCCCCTTGCGTCTAGTCTCGTTTTGTGCAGCTCGTACCCATTGCCTCGCTTCCTTTTGCTGAGCACCGCTGAGAAGACTTTTACTCAGTCTTTTGTAATCAACTCTTCGGTGTCTGAAAACAGAAATTATACCCCCTGAGCTTTCTGTCTTTCAGCCTGAGCAAACTATTCTCTTTGCTTCTTCTCATACATCATATTCTCTATTCCCCTTGGCAGGCCTCGGCTGGACTAAGTACAGTTTGTCAGTGTCTTGTGGTTGGCTTTTTTTCTTTTTTTTTTTGTACTGGTGACCCCAAGACTGGACGCAGTTCTCCAGGTGCCCGATAAGAGAGAGAGAATAAAATTTCCTGAACCTGCTGGCTGTGCCCTTGCTAACGCAGCCCAGTAAGGGCTTAGCTTTCAGATCCTGATTTATACTGGAGTGGACCTTCAAGACTCATTTAATTTCAGCTTAACACCTATTTAGCTCAGAAGAAAATTGGAAATTACTTCAATTTCCCAAGCGCGTTGTCCCCTGAAAAGGATTTGCTTGATGTTTTGCGCAAGGGTTCGTTTTGTAACTAGGAAACCCGACAAAATACCGTGGGTGCTTCCTTTGAAGGAGCGAACAGCTACAGAGGATTTTGGAATATTCAGGCAAGTTTGAGCCAGGGGAGGAGGAAAAAATTGAGTCCCCAGTTTGTGTGCTACGTTATAATCCTTTAACTGAGCAGTGGATCTGAAACCCTTGGCGCCTTTAGCTCTGAAGTGCCCTGTGTGTCTTTGTGGCAACTGCTTGAGCTCCCAGGGGAAAAATGACATGGTTTTTGGTGACCTGTCCCTTTGCAGGGAGGTGCTCTAGAGACTGTTTGTCTTTAGTTTAACAGCTCTGGAGAGGAAAACATGACGTGATTCATCTCGCTTTCCTCCCATGGCTGGTCTTGCCAGTTTCCACGCAGATATTGCCAGGATCTCAAGTCTTGAATAATAATTCTTCTTTATTTTTTCTTTTCCTTCTTGTTAAGCTCTCTGGATTCTGAGCTGACGTCTCTCTGCCAGTCTGTGCTGGAGGATTTCAATCTGTGCTTGTTCTACCTGCCGTCTCCTCCTAACTTGAGCTCGACTAGTGAAGATGAAGAAGAGTATGAGAGTGGCTACTCCTTCCTTCCTGACCTCCTAATCTTCCGCATGGTGATCATCTGCCTTATGAGCGTTCACAGCCTCAAGAGGGCAGGTAACCAAGTGCCTCAGTCAGAAATTTAGCAAAATGTCCCATTAGGCTGGAGATATTGTCGTCTTTTCACGTTTTTGGACTAGCAGTCGGTCTCCTCCACCTCACTGTTCCGTCTCGTTGCAGGTTCGAAGCAGTACAGCGCAGCCATCGCTTTCACGCTGGCCCTCTTCTCTCACCTCATCAATCACGTCAATATTCGCCTGCAGGCAGAGCTGGAAGAAGGGGAAAATCCAGTCCCAGCCTTTCAGAGCGATGGCACGGGTAAGAGCGGGGATGGGATGAGCTGGGTCTCCTGGGGCTGGCTTTTATTTTTCTTCCCTAACTCTCTGGGGTTTGTGGTGTAGTGCCTGTGCGATAGTAGAGACATCTTGATCTTTGACTGCTGGGTTAAAATCCCCAAAGGTGGGTGATCTGCTGAGATAAGTCTCCGCTTAAAAGCTCGCTCTGAGTGTCAGAATCCTCACAAGGTGAAAATGTTGCTTTCCTCGTTGTAAAGGAGTTATCCTCCTGTATTTCTCGGCAGCTCGTTCATCATCTCTTTATCCCAATCTGTGCTCCTTGTTTGCTGGTATTTACTGGACTCTTGTCTTCTCCGCTGAGGAGAGACTCCTGCCCTGCATGGATTTTAGAGTCATAGAAACATGGGGTTTGAAGCTGTCCGAGTAGAAAAGGAAAGGATTAGGTCAACTCAGGCTACTTATGAGGTGGTGTTGCTTTATCAAGCTGACTGGCCTGGAGGGCCAGTGGCCTCCTGGCCTGTGTCAGGGCAGTGTGGGCAGCAGGAGCAGGGCTGTCATTCTGCCCCTGGGCTCAGCACTGGGGAGGCCTCACCTCGAGCCCTGGGTGCAGGTCTGGGCCCTCACGACAAGAAAGATGTGGAAGGGCTGGAGCAGGTCCAGAGGAGAGCAGCGAGGCTGGGGAAGGGACTTTATGCTGGTGGAGCAGTGTTCAGCAGCGAAGCTGCCTGAGAAACGAGGCAGCACATCTTGGGCATCGGGACTTTCTTGACTTGGGGTCTCGTTTCATACGCCTGCAGATGACCAGGAGTCACGGGAGCCGTTGAGCTCGATTGAGAAGGAAGTTGAAGCTGACTTGGCCAATCATCAGCCCAGCGAGGAACAACGGAAGAATGACTGCAAGAAAAGCAAGAAATACTCCCGCCTCTCCTGTTTGCGCCGCCGCCGCCACCCCCAGAAGGTGGATGAGAGCGACCTGAGCGAGGGCTTTGACTCCGACTCCAGCCAGGGCTCCACCAAGGGCAGCGACGGCTCAGAAAGTGGCTCAGAGAAGAGCGATGAGGAAGCGGAAGCTGCTTTTGACGTGGAGACGGACTCTGACATGAACAGCCAAGAATCTCGCTCCGACTTGGAGGACATGGAGGATGAGCCGGGTGAGGAGGGAAGCGGCCGAGGCAAAAGTGGGCCCAAAGAGGCCTTAAAAAACTGTGTGGATGGCAGTGGACATGGGGACTCCAAGAGCCCGAGCATCTCTAAAATCGAGACTCTGGATCCAGCAGTTAACGGGCCGGCTTCCCTGAGCACTAACGACGCGAGCATCGCCAGTAATCTCCAGGCCATGTCCACCCAGCTCTTCCAGACCAAACGCTGCTTTCGCTTGGCTCCCACTTTCAGCAACATCCTTCTGAAACCCAACAGCGAACCGTCCGTCTTGAAGGACGGGCTGGAAAGCAAACCGTGCGTCAACGGAGATCTGGAGAAGCCCAGCTTAGCGGAGCAAGGTAAGGACCCCCGACCTCATTCGAAATACTTGGTGTGGCGGTTCAGTGTTAGAAAACCACACGCCACAGCGCTTTGTTTGCTGAAATCCACCCCTTCTCGCGGCACAGTTTCTCCTTTGGCTGTTTTTGGAGGAGGAGGTTGGCCAAATACTGGGCAGGTTTTGGGTGTTTCCTGACGGAGGAGCTTTACTCTTACTCCTGACGTCCGTACGTGCACTGAGCGAAGGAAAAACCTCCAGCCAGCCGGGGTTTGTAGAACCGTAGAACGGCCGAGGCTGGAAGGGACCTCAGCGATCACCTGCACCCACCAA